AGCTTTACACTAAGAACCTTGGAAGAAGATCTTTGTCAGTTTGTCTCTCTTTTTGCTCTAAATAGGGAAGCAACAGAAGGCTGGGTGATTAAAAAAAAAGGCAAAGTGAAATATACACTTCATGATTAGGAAAAAGTATCACAGAAAAAAAATCACCATTCTAGCTTCTGGAGGATGCAAAAGCTAAAGAGAAACACCTTTGTAATGTAATTAGCCTCCAACTAATAAAAAAAAAGAAAAAGAAAAACACCTAAAACACCGATATATTAGTGTGGGAAAAATATGGCTGAGTCTAGCAGTTAATTGAAGAACATTTAATGAAGGGACTGTTTAGGAAGGTTTGGGCAGAGGTAAGGAACTCTCCAGAAACTACAGAATCTATTCATCAGATGCATGACCAATTTATGCCATCCAATTTGTTGCTTATAGCACAGTGGTTAAGAATATGCATGAACTTTGGAGTCAGACTGACAGAATCTCATACCAGCTCTATCACTTTCTATGGGTATGACCTTCTGTAATTAAAAAAAGAAACTATCTGCATTTTAGTTTCCTCACCTGTAAAATGAGGATGATAATATTTCTAAGGAATATTATCCTCTGAGAATAGTTAAAGAATACCTGGAGAATCCCCATGGACAGAAGAGTCTGGAGGGCTACAGTCCATGGGGTCGCAAAGAGTCAGACACGACTGAGCAACTAAGCACCTTAAATTGAGAGAGGCAGATGAGAAAATGTAACTCAAAGTACCTGACACATAGTGTGAAAAACACATAAATAATAAATTGGATTCCTTATTTTATTCTTAGTAAGGATACTATAATGTTGACCACAAAAAATATTATTTAGGATCAGGTTTGGTTGAGAATAATTAAAAAAAAATCACAGCTGAAAGAAGCTTAAATAAAACTTTGTTTCACACAAAATCCAGATAAAGAATAGGAAGGTTTGGTATGATAGTTCTGCTCTAAGAAGCCCACTTGCATCTTCCATTTCTATGTTTTGTCATCCTCAGTGAGTGGCCATTGTCTTCATGAATTGAGATAGTGGTCTCTGGGTCCTTGTTTCATGTGGGAGAATGAAATAAGAGGGGAAGACTGTCAAAAAGAGAACACAGCAGTCTCTTAAGGTTCTTGAAAGCTTATGTCCTAGTGGCAAGAACTAGCCTACAAGGGAGACTGAGAGATGTAGACTTTATTCTAAGGAAGGAGGAGACATTGAAGGCTAATTAATAAAGTCAACAACTATTTCAAATTGTCTTTATTATCCTCAAGGCCTCAAAAGCTACCTTTATTTTTCCCTTTTTTTTCCTCCTGCTTTAGCAATCATAGGCATACCTATTTTCTGTTCTATCTTCAACTTTCTTTGTTCTTTTATGTATGTGATGAGCATTCCTATTATTTTCCTGCACTTAAAAAAATTATTTTGCACTTATTAAAGTTGAACAAACATAAGTTTTAGAATAATCCTTAGGAACTTTGGGCTTCACTGGTGGGTCAGACAGTGAAGAATCCGCCTGCAGTGCAGGAAACCTGGGATGGATCTCTCCACTATCTCTCCACTATCGATCTCTATTCCTGCCTAGAGAATTCCAGGGATAGAGGAGCCTGGTGGGCTATAGTCCATCGCAAAGAGCTGGACATTACTGAGCAACTAAGTCATGTGAGCAACACATACACACATGCTTAGGAACTTCAATTTGGGACTCTTTTCTCTAGACTTCTCTCATAGCCCTGTATCTCAGGCTGCTTTATATTAGACTTCCTTGTGTATGTACAGTTCTATGCTCACCCAGTATGTGAGCTGAAAAAAAAGTGAAAGTTAGTTGCACAGTTGTGTCTGACTCCTTGTGATTCCACGGGCTGCAGCCTGTCCCGCTCCTTTGTCCATGGAATTCTCCAGGCAAGAATACTGGAGTGAGTTACCATTTCCTTCTCCAGGAGATCTTCCTGACTGGGGGATCGAACTGGGTCTGCTGCACTGCAGGCAGATTCTTTACCAGCTGAACCACTAGGGAAGCCCAAGTGAAAGTAAAAGTTACTCAGTCATGTCTGACTCTTTGCGACCCCATGGACTGTAGTCCACGGAACTCTCCAGGCCAGAATACTGGAGTGGGTAGCCATTCCCTTCTCCAGGGACCAAACCGAGGTCTCCCACATTGCAGGCGGATTCTTTACCAGCCGAGCTACCAGGGAAGCCCAGAATGTGAGCTAGGGAGATTAAAATCTACACCTTATACAGCTTCATATCTCCTCTTAGAATAACAGTATTGTGCACATTTTAAGTATTTATTGTACAAACATTTACATTTAAATCCATACAGAATTGTCACTATGAATGATTGAATATTTCACAACACATATATAAACAGTTATATGTCATACCCGTGATTTGTTTCTGAAATTTTATAAGTAGGATTTTATAACTGAATCATTGTAAAATATATTTGTGGGCCACAAAATATAATTCTATTATGAATTCTTCTATAAAGCCAAATTTATTCCTCTTCCAATTTATATATTTTCCAGTTTGGGTTTTCAAATGTTTACTTTCCTTACAGTGGGTACTTTTATACTTCTCTCAACAAAAAATAAGTTTTCAAAACACAGTTCTGTAACTTCTAGTCAGATTTATTGAGATATACTTTACATACAGAAAAATTCACACTTTTTAAGGCCTATTGGTCTATGCTAGCTAAATTTCTATGATTACTGCAAATAAAAAGCTATCATCTACTTTCTAAATCTCTCTGAAGCCTTATGTTCTAGGGACAAACAGCAGAAATCTCTTAACTGAAGTGAAACAATTTGAAGAGCTTACCAAAGGAACTGTGAAGACTATGCTTTATTTGATGAGAGAAATAAAATCTCCAATCAAGCTTTTTAAAACTTACTTAATCTTTTCTAAGTTTCCTAATCATTTTTAAAATTTTTTGCTTTTCCAGAAAACAGTAGGAAGAAGAAATCTACAAGATGGGCAATTCTTATAATAACTTTATAGGCTGATTCACACGGTATGACCTATTTTTCAAAGACTGAAATACTGAAAGGAAATAGAAAAGGACATACACTGATTATACTTGCCATGAAATCATATATGCATAGGAAAATACATGATTATTACCTTAGCACTTACAATAAACTTTATATTATGCGTGACCTCAGTCACTTCTGTGGTGTCTGACTCTTTGCGACCCTATGGACTGTAGCCTGCCAGGCTCCTCTGTCCATGGGTTTCTCCAGGCAAGAATACTGTTGTGGGTTGCGGGGTCCTCCTCCAGGGAGGATATTCCTCACCCAGGCATCAAACCCAAGTTTCTTGCATTGCAGGCGGATTCTTCACTGCTGAGCCACTGGGGAAGCCCACTTCACACTACACATATGGGCAAACTTCAAAAGGGTTGGCTCAGGAACAAAATTCTTGATGCAAAATGTAGAGAAATGCAAGAACTATGAATACTTCACTTACACCTGATATAAATATTCTATTCAATCTAGGACCACTATGTCTAAAAGTTAGTTATAATAAAAATTCAATAATGAGACTAGAATCTACAGAGCTCTCCCTCTATCCGGTACTTCTGAGTTATAAGCAGCTTCAAGTGTTCAAGTTCATATGGACTCATCAGAGTGGCTTTTCTAAATGACAGCTGTGTTCAAATTTTAATGCGGCACCACTTTATTGTTCTCTCTATACAGCACTTTTGAAAAACTAGAAAATGATATAATCTTTCCTTGTAGGACTCTGTCTGGTTAAATTTGCCTTTGGTCCCTGAAAAAAGCACATCTTTATTCCCCACCCTGCTCCCTACAGCCCCTCCTTCTCAGGCCTGCCCTCACTATCTCAGGTTCCAGACTCTTACCTTCTCTAAATTAATACTTAAACTATCAAGTTGGACTGCAACCAGATACATTAAATCCTGCAATATGCTAATAGCTAATACTAGCTCAATAGGTGATCTCTCTGAGGTGTTTCTATTAAAAAAAACTCATTCAAGTTAATTTTGTGTACAGGATTCCAAGCATAATGGCAGGTGGGATTTTTTGGTGAATATAGGACCCTTTTCAAAGCTCCTTAAATCAAGTTCAATCTATTGCCTTTATGTTGTAATATTGAAACGAAAATTTCTGAAGGAACTCTACATATACTAGCTTAAAATGTTTCCGAATATATTCCTCACAATTTCCTTTCCATAAAGTGTTTTGATCAATCCAACGACACTTACTTTTATAATGTCATTTACTGACGGTGGCAGGATATTTTGTCACTTACTTAAAAATTAATACATCAAACGAAATTAAAGCGAAAAGAATCCATCAAAACAGCTTGACTCCTCTTTGCTGGAGTTCCTCACCCAAGTCAACGACATAAATCCTTGAGTTTGCTCACTTTTGGAATCATGTCTAACATATTTGATCAGAGGGGGCAACCTTCAGGTCTGACTTGGAGGAATTTGATCAGGAAAAAAAAAAAAAAAGATGGAAAAGCAGAATGTTGCCAAGAAGGTGTGGCGTGGGATTTGGGGTGGAGGCCAGAAAAAGAAAAAGAAAAAAAGGAAAGTTCCTTCATCCACTTGAAGAAACATTTATTTCTGCCTCCCACAGGCCAGGGCCTAGAATTCTGTTGACGTCTTCTCTGGAAGGGTAATCCCGTTGACAAATGTCAGATTCTGATTATCTGAGGAACTCGAGTCGCCCTCGCTTCCAACCCTCTCCTGAACTGATTTGAAGCGGGGGAGATAGGCTGGAAAGGGGAGGAAGGCAGAGGCGAAGGCCGCCTCGCAGAGCACATCTGCTGTGTTCAGCCGGAGCGTCTGTCAAGCAGTGGGAGAGAGAAGCGCATGGAGCCACCAGCCCACTCTCGGGCGAAACTCGCCAGAAAAAAGCCCGCCCTGCCTCCGCCCCCTGCCCGCGGCTTCTGCTGGGCGGCGGTGGAAAGGCAACTTTTGGAAACTTGAAAGGGGGGGCTGTGTGGCGGACAGAAAAGCGTAACCTCAGCAGGTCGGGCTGAGGCTCCCCGGACAGCGGGCGGGCCAGGCCGGGTCGGGTCGGGTGTGGAGCCGGAGCCGCGTCCCGAGCGGCGGCTGCAGCGAGGCCGGGAAAGGCGGGCCGAGGCCCCGCCCCCCCAGGCGCAGTTCCCCGTCCGGCCTGGCGAGGGCGCCGGCGCGGCAGATCAGGTGACCGAGCGCTCGTCCGGGGCTGCGGGGAAGCGGCCTCGTTCTCAGCCGCCAGAGACGCCGCCGCCTCCGCCACACCTAGTGGAGGAGCCGGGGAAGGCGGCTCGGCGGTCGGGGCCGGGGCGGAGAGCGCCCGGGCTGGGGACGGAAGGGCGGCGGACCGAAGGCAGGAGGCTGTCGGGGCGCGGGCTGCTGCGGGGAAAGGGACGAAGAGGCGTCCGCCGCGGCTCGCTCTGTCCACCCGCACGGGATTGGGGCGCGAGGGCCATGGACGCGCTCCCCTGAGACGGAGGTCACGGGCGGGAGGGGAGGAGGCCCGACCGAGGTAGCTGCGGAGGCCGCGGGCCGGTGACTGGGCGCGAGGCCGGCAGCGCCGGCCCCACCACTGCCGCCACCACCATGTCGCGCTCCGTGCTGCAGCCTAGCCAGCAGAAGTTGGCGGAGAAGCTCACCATCCTCAACGACTGGGTCGTCGGCATGGTCACGCGCCTCTACAACATCAAGAAGGTGCGCACGGGCCGGCGAGGCCTCGGCGGGGGCGGCGGGCAGGCGGAGGCGGGAGGAAGGGCCGGGGAGGCCTGGGCCCTGGGGGCGGCGGGCGGCGGCAGGCCCGCCCAGGGTCGCCGGGATGCGCCGCGGCCTAATGCGGAGCCCTGGCGTCTCTCCCGCCGGGTCGCGGGCCGGCCAGGGGCGGAGAGGAGCCATTTGCCCGCTCCCAGCAATGGGAACTGGCCGGCCCGGCGTGGGGTGAGGGGCGCCGCCGCCGCCCCCTCCTCGGCGCCCTGGCCCCCGGGACTGGGTCTGCGCGAAAGGGAGGAGGATGGATGAGATACTAGATGGGGGCTAGGAAAACTTGGGTGTTCCGTAACTGAGATTGAATGGTAGAAATCGGGCGGAGATGGAATCAGGTTTTTTTTTTTTTCCCCCTCAGTTCTTTTGGTATGTAAGTGGGAGCGTGAGAAGGGAATGGCTCATCTGGATGAACCCTGCATCTCCACTTGGCCATTTTATTCTGGATCGCCAAATAAAAGCCATTGAAGAGTGTGTTGACGATTTGGAATTATTTCATTTTGAAGGTGGAAAGGAGGTGGGAGTGAGGGTGGAACCAGTTTTCTCCTGAAATACTTCTGGGTTGTGAGTCACTAGGACAGGAATAACAACCTTCTTGTCTGTCTTTACTCCTCCTCATCTTAGTTTTTCCAACCATGTCGCTAATACCGAAACATCGTTGCTTAAATTTCTTTACGTTCGGTGTCTGTACAAAATAAAAACTGTGATTGTGTTGCTCTTATGCTGATTTTATGGTGTAGTCTGATAATTTGAGTAGCTCTAGCTAATAGACCCATTGAAAGTACATGGCTTTCGCAACATTAAGGAATGAAAGGCTGAGTTGCAATTAAGAAAAATAGATGGAAGGATAGAGCAAATATTACATTAATTTATTTTAGAAAAGAAAGACCAAAATTCTATTCCTTTTAAGGCAAAGTTAGTAAGTTTTTAGTAATTTGATAGAGAAAACTGAAGATTTTTTGATGCAAGCTGGATCCTGACAGTTTCCAGTGTGTATTTGATGTTATATCTTCATAATTTTTTTGTTGGCTTTTTAATGCATTCTGAATATTTCCTTTTAGTTTAATCATAGCAGTAGAGTTGTAGCCCTTGTAAATTAGGTCTCCTGAAGAAAAGAATACTTAAAAAACGTATGATGGAGTTCAATATAAAACTGACCTATTTCAGCAATTTGATATAGACACTGAAATTCTAGAGGAGAAGACTGTCCTGGTTTAATAATGATAAATTTTGTGTAGCGATGGCTGTGTTCCATTGGCTTCCCTGAATAGAAGGATTGGTTGACTTTAAACCTTGTGCACTCTGGAGAGTAAAATGCCTCTTCACACTTCAATTTTGTGTGACAGGAGCTCAGGGTCATTCCAGTGAAGCCCTCTGCATTTACCGAGAAGAGACTTGGTTACAAGTTTGTAATAATTTTAGATAGTATTACTTCCAGGTTCATTGACCTGAACTTTTTTGCGAGATTATGCTCCTTAACTTGGAAATTCGTTCCTATATGAGCTTTGTGCAAAAAAACAAGCAAGACAAACATCGCTAGAAGTTACTAGACATGTGGTATTGTGGTTAAAGGAAATGGTTATGATGGTTTCCAAGAGAGGAAGTGAGAGTAACATCAAAAGTGATTCGGGTATTAAGGCAAAATTCCTCTTTTTAAAGCATTCATTACACATTTTTATGGCATGAAAATAGTGAGATTTTACAAATTTCATCTTCATGAATGATCTCAGATGAGATTAAATTCTAGGCGTTCAAATGCTTCAGTTCACTGCCTTTTCTCAAAAGCATGTTTTTTCACTTCCTGTTTTGAGAAACTTTAGGCTCTTGCATTACTGAACTAGTACAATTTAAAGTGAGTTGATCATTATATCCAAGTGTCTAATATTTTGAATTATTGAAATGTTATATTTCAGCACTTAACACATTTATAATTTCTTGAGAAATACTTCTGCCTTGTCTGAGTGACTGTGAGTTCCCGCTCAGTGGGGACTGTTGTCATTTTTGAATTACTAGTCCTTGGGGTCTTCCCTGGTCCATGAAGCTTTCAGTTAGGACTTGTTGAAAAGGATGAATACATTATGCGTGTCATGTATGTATGTATATATGTATATGCAACATATATATGAGCGTGTGTGTGTGTGTGTAATCTTGCTCTAGTTTTAATACTAATAGCTTTTGATCTGCCCTCCTTGTGATATTTTATATACAGATACATCAGATGGATTTTGAGTCTTTCAGCCTGTATAGAGTTTTGTATAAAGCCTGGCATATCTTCCTGGATGGCTGGGATTGAAACATTTCAAAAATCTTGCCTAAAAAAGTGATTAAGATCTGTTTACCATGTGTTGATAAGATTCGTGCTGTCTACATTTTTATGACAGTATAAGCCCATGTAATCTTTTCAATCTCAGTGTCTTACAGTCCTCAAAAAAAAAAAAACCCTTCTATCACATGATACATGTCTGCCAGTCAGTTACAACATTTTCATTAATTCATGTTTGCATTAGATTGTCTATCAGATCTGATTACTGTTTCAACTAAAAGTCTGCAATGGCAATATTTTAGTGAGCATATACAATGAAAAATACTTCAGTGACCTAAGTATCAATAAAATAACTTTAAGTTACTATAACCAAGAATAACAGGCTTTAATACTTAGAGGAATATAACATGGCCCCTGAAAAATATTTTGCTATTTGAAGTAAAATTTTATCAGTTGAGTAATTTTTGATATCTTAATATGTGCAGGCTGGAGAAGGAAATGGCAACCCACTCCAGTATTCTTGGCTGGGAAATCTCACCAACAAAGGAGCCTTGTCCATGGGGTCGCAAAAGAGTCGGACAGCACTGAGTGATTAAACAACGAACAAATATGTACAGATTATGAAAATTTTAAGAATTTGTGATCAAATCAGGGATTTAAGAAGATGTGAAGGAGGATTTTAGGGGGAAAAGGTGAAGGTGGTAGGTAGTTTTACATTTAAATTTATTTATTTCATAATGTCTTAATTTTTTCAAAATTAAAAATGTCTTCCCTTTTCTGGAGCTACTACTACTACCCACTTCTATAGTGACTTTTAACATTTTCAGCCTGCTTTTATATCACTCACTGTGACATGGCAGGGCAGTGTGGTGAAAGGAGAGTATCCAGCCGAAAGTTAGGAGACCTGCCTCCCAGGCTTCAGTATGTCACTGAGAGTTTTGTAATATTGGGTGGGTGTCTTGACTTCCCTGAGCTTCATTGTTTTTCGTCTGTGAAATGGGGGAAGATTAACTGTGAAAGGAACACTCAAGTCTGTTCCAACTCCGATTATGTTATCTTTATGAAGTAGAAGTTAAGGCCCATTTTAAACAGTTTGACTGAGCTCTGTTTAGTTTTTCTTAATATAGGGATGGTAATAACATGATCTGTCTACTTCATAGGATTGTGAAGATAAAAGATTGTAACAATGTGAAAATAGTTTAAAACTTCTATGAATGTAAGATGGTATTTGTTTAAGACTCTCAATAACTTTTAGGAGCAGCATTTGTTTTTTTCTGAAATTTTGCTGCTGTTTAGCAAACACATATACCAAAATTCCAAAAAGGGAACATTTTTTAGCTGAGCTTAATTTTGTGTGTGTGTGTGTTTATTCCTTTTTACTTTTTCTATTTTTTCCTAAGCCATCACCAACATGAACTTGATAATTCTGTACCAAAAAGGTCTCAGTTAATACTTGTAATATTTTTCATCTTGTTAAAGTACTGCTTCAATTCTAAAGGACAGAAAGGCGAAAATACCTATCCATCTATTGCAAACTTCTTTTTAATGGAGTATTTTTATTACAGGCTTTTGCCCCTGATTTTGGATAATTTTATTTTATGAGTAAAGAAGTTAATAGCAGTGTAAAATTGAAAGTCTTTACCTGATATCTGCTTATCTAATGGAGGTAAAAAAAAAAGTATGTGAAGTATGCAATCAGGTTAAAGGAATCAGCTTTAGTCTTCCCTTTCAGTGTTGCATTTCTCTTCATTTAAGGGCCTTGTTTTCTCTGTGGGTTAATCGGGAGCAGAAAGCATGTTCCAAAGGTTGGATTCTGGCAAGTTGTAGAAGTACTGTTAGTACCTATAAGATTTTTCTCCCCAGGGAGATTTTCATTATCAAAATCCTTAAACATGTTTAGGAAGCATTGTCTCTTCATCAGTCTGTATTTAAGTTATATATATGTGTGTGTATATATATATATAAAACATGTATATATTTATGTAAACAAATCCTACTACATTTGTTTGTAACTTTTCAAGGAAGCTGCTTGTAAAAATGAGGATTTGATAATTCTGTTTCTTGTTACACTGGATGGTAGGCTGAGGAGATAAAGATCACTGAAAAATACTTAGGAAAGAGGGTTATTTTTATTATTTTTAAGTGGCAGTGGTAAATTGTCCACCTTTGGTTTCCTTTGTGGAATTGTTAAATAACTTAATAAATTTTTTAAATGATTGCAGAAGGAATACTTGTTGTTGTCAAAAACTCAAAATGTGACTTCAGAAATTCTCTGCCTGTTCACCTCCCACTTTTAAAAAATAAGCTGTGTATACTTATACAATTTTTTGTACAAATGCTGACATTTTATTATATTATAACTAAAATAGACTATTTCCAAAAATAAAGTTGAAGAAGCAGCATGGTACAGCTTACATATAAATGAAATTAGGATTCTTAATCTGTTGCTTGT